CGCGGGTGCCCAGTGACAAGGCACTGCAGCACGAGGGTGTCCCCCTCCCGGATGGTGTAGACGCGCTCACTGATGTTGTCCTCTTTGACCACACATGCCTGGCCAGCGTGGACGATCTGGGCCTGGGCTGGAGCTGGTGGGAGAGGAATGAGGAGGTTCAGACAGAGGCACAAGGACAGAGGGGCCCTGAGACTCCCTCCTGAGTGTCCGGGGTGAGGGTCAGCCCGGAAGTCCCCAGGCCATCCCTCTGAGGCCTGACCCTCCTGAGCTCAGAAGGAACCCTGTCAGGTTGCCCAGGCCAGAGTAGAAGGGCCAGAGACTTGCAGAAGGGTTAGTTCCCCTGGTCCTTGCAGGAAATCTGTGCTTCGCAGTGAGCTGACGTGTGTGGGGGCTTCATATCCCGCACGGGTTGGTTATCCCTCATGAGTCTCACTGTCTTAGCAGCCCCTAGCCAGGGATGCTGGTGGTGCTTCGCTCGGCTCCATCTCCAGCTGCCACGGCTCCCCTTCTCCAGGGAATTGCCCTTGGCCAACAGGAGCTGCTTTGGCCAGAAATGCCCCCACCTTTTTTTTATTGCCAAAGGGCATGTGCACTCACCAGAGAGAACAAGAACCCTCCAGTGGGGTGTGGTCATGCCCCAGTTCCCTTTCCTCCATTCTGTTTCCAGTTAAGATTTTGGGTACTCATGCACTGGGGGCCAGGATTCAAACCAAGGTTGGCCACGTGGGATCTGGCTCCCTATACATAGTGCTTAACCACTGCGCTAAGGGGCCAGGGCTGGCCTGAAATGAGTATTTTTATGGAAGGAGGAAGTCAGGGAGGGAAAGAAATGCCTAGGAGGTAACTCTCTGAGAAAAGGGAAGAAGGGAAGAAGGGGAAGGGGAAGGGAAGGGGAAAAGAAAGACAGGGGAAGGGAGGGGAGTGGAGGGGAGAAATAGAATGTCTAGGTGGCTACCTCCTTCTCCAACACACACACACACACACACACACGGGCACTCAGGGTGGGGTGGCTGTGGTGTGATTCGATGCTCCAGAGCCCCCTAGGGACAAGCGGAAGTGAAACTTTCTGAACCACCTCCTCGCCCGGCTGCTTCCCTCGCTTCTTGGTCTCTCCTGAAAGCATGCTCTCCGCAAATCACTGGCCTAGCCTGTAATCTCCCCCACCCCAGCCGCCTCAGGCTCTGCTTCTTAGCGGGCCCAACACGCACACCCAAACCCAGGGGCCTCCGCCCTGCCACAGACTGTTCACGTCTTCCCGTGGCTCTCTGAGCCTGTGCAGGCTCCTTGCCCGACAGACAGCAGTTCGCACGGGAGCCTGGGGGTTCTCAAATACCTGGCTCCTTCCTGACCTCTCTCACAGTCGGGGGGGCTTGGATATGAGGGGCCCACTGGGGAAATGATGGGACTTGCCCCTCCCTCAGGGTCTAGCCCTCAATCCGCCAATGCTTGGACTCTGGGAAGGAGGAAAGCCTGCCAGCTTCACAGCTGAGTGGGGAGAGAGTGGAGGTGGGAGAGCTGACACAGGGCATGAGGTCCACAGAAGTAAAATGAAATCTGCACATAACTTGTGAAACTTCCTCCAGGAAGCACTCCATGATTGACCGGTACCCTTCTTCTCGATATAACCAGTTAAAATGTGCATCACTCCAGCAGTGCAACAGCAAAACATCAGGCCTGTGTGTCTTTCAAGTTTAGGATCTCCAAAAAAAAAAAAGAAAAAAAAAAAGTATAGATGGTTCCAGGAGGTTGTAGAAGAAATGCCACCAGCTGCTGGAGGAAGAACCACAGAAGACTGTGGAAGAGGCAGCTTTGACGCAGGCCTCCCAGGACAGGCCGTTCTGTGCTAGCGGGCAAGGCAGAGTCCCACTCTGCACATTACCTAGGGTGAAGACTGAGGGTCTTGGGCCTTTGTTTTCTCATCTCTCTCTCTCTCTCCCTTTTTTTTTTTTTGAGAGAGATTTCTGCTTGTGTGCTTTTGCGTGTACTTGTCAGAAAGACAGACTGGCCATGCTGCAGTCCCTTCTCTTACATTCTCCTCTGAGGATTTTGGGCCCACCCAGCCTAAGTTTCAAGCCACAGGGTTGGGTAATCATTTTTTTTTGGGATCTTGGGCACGCACGCACACGCGCCCGGTGTGAGTTTAAGCTGCTGGGTCCAGGACTCAAACCGCGGTCGGCTACATGGGAGTCCAGCGACATAGTCGTTACGCCAACTGCTGGTCCCTGTTTTCTAATCTCTAATGCAGAAAGAACTCACAACAGTGGATGTGATGAAAAACGCTTAGGATTATAATGTGTCCCACCAATGCTGACGGGACATACGCGAACTAATTACAGAGGAAGGGCCACAGAGGCAGCGTGGCAGCAGGCCAGGAAATTCACGGGGCAGCGACTGGGAGTGACACCGGCCATGTTTCTGCATGAGGGCTTCTACCAGCAGAAGCAGGTTCGGCAAACAGCGGCGGCTACCACCAAACCCGAGTCTGCGTGTCTAAG